TAGCTGCCAGACTGAGAAAAAGCCCATGCAAGCTGAAAGTGAGAGTATTTGTTTATGGGGTCTGTTCTTGCTCACAGTTTGCCCAGTGCCTCTGGTTAGTTTGTATTAGCATGGACTCTTTTTACTTCTCCTTACACCAAAACCATTTCTTCTTCATAGAGGGACTCTGCCACTAGACTCTCAAATCAGAATAGGAGTGTTCTCTGATGGTGGGTACATTCCACCAAGGGGGAGCAATGTACATGTAAACATGCATTATGGATTGTTTCTCTGACTCCGAGGCTCTGGTACCGGTAATCTTAACTCTGTGATGTATTTTAAACTTGGATGTTTCTTGATACACTCCCTAAGAAGAAACTCTTCTCTCTGCGGGATATAGTCAACTTATACCTTGTCCATTGCATTAATGGTAATAGCTTTGGAGCTTGATAATGTATGTTTTCTTTGGCATAGTCGTGATTCTTGAATTGGATGATCAAAATATTTCTTTTGGTTTGTTTAATATCGACGTCAGACGACACAAATGTAGCCCAATTTTGAGCCGACAGACCTGTCACAGACAAGCGGAAGTAGCCGATTTTGAATTGTTTTGACGTGTCCGAGCCTGTGTAGTAGGACATACTCAATACAACTGGTCGTGAGGCAAATGGTTCGCTTCATGACCACGACAACGAAAGTCTGGTATGTCAGAATTTGTCTTCGTCTTGCCGCATAGTGTGACCTATCCTACGCCGTCCTTGGATTGTGTTTGTTTTACCTTTCGTTGAATATGTCATATTTAACATATAGGTATTTATTTTGGGTGTCGGCCTCACAGTGCAGAGATGCAGGGTTCGTCTGTGAAGTTTTTTTGAGTCACAGTGTTTATTTGACTACTTTAAATGAATCCCACTTGAAACATAAGGCAGAAAGTGGACATTTGCGTTGATAGAACGAGAACGTCGTGCTTTGTGCGCATGCGTGTCACATCACAAACGTGTTGCTTCATATAACTCCAAGTCACATTTTACAATGTGGAGGAGTACGTAAAAAGATCAGATTTAACAAAAATATCAAATTGGGCTTCACACCCTCCAGTATGAACACAGCCTTAGTCTTTATTAGCTGTTTCTGAAATGTTGTGTTCATACTCCTTCCCATAAAAATTAGTGACGTCACGGAAATGATCTCGCGCTGCCTGCACGAGTCAGGAATTTGAACCACGACAAGATCACTTACCAGATGAGTTAAATGTTCATCCTATGATAGGAATGAGATTTCAGGCTGCAGTTAACGCTGATCATATATATTCACAAGGCCGTAACTCATGAACTCAAGTTGGCAATATTCAAGAAGGACATTGAAGAACATTTCTTAGCCCAAGCCTTTTCAGAGTTTTCCAAAGCGGCCAGTATCACACCTCCTCCATTAACCTTGAATTAAATGACCATTGGCAACCTTGAATGGTGGATTCTTATTTTTCCGGCGAAAAGAGTTTAATTGATGAGTGTACACATTTGGGTTGTTAAATTCACTGTTACACTCGTAACACTATCAATTTCAAATGTAAATGCATGGTTTTGACGTCATAAAATATGTGGGAGCCTTCCGTTTTACCTTGCCACACTTTATTTACAAGTAAGGAACATAAACCATGCATAAATACTGGTTTATGAAGAAAAAGATGGTGTACAATTAGATTTAGGGTTCCTAATTGCATGTTGAAGGGGCTGAATCCCATTGTCTTCCCCTTGACTCCCTTGCAGGACACACATGATCATCAGTGATTCCTTCTCGTTATGTATCTTCCACATACTTTGTGTGAAAGCCGGGGCAAAGTGTAACAGAGCAAGGCCGAGTCAATGCAAACATTTTGGCTCACCATAATGCCTCATGAAGGATGTCTTCCCCTGAGGCACAAGAAGCAGGAAATGTGGCCCCATATTACTTTTTAATTAGAATATGAATTAACTAGACCTCCTTATCTGACAGCTCCAAAAGGCAAGAGCAACATGATCTAGGCTTCACGAGAAAAACGTCCTGTGTCAAAGCTTGCATTACTTTGCCTCAAGGCCAAGAAGAAGCCAGAACATTTTTCAATGTTTTGCAACTTCCATGTGGTGTGATTCTGAGGTGTGACAATCCGTCTCATTACAGCATCCTCCCACCTCCTTGTTTGCGCTCTTCAGAGATCGGTGGCTGATGAAAATGAGAGGTAGAGGCTAATCACCTGCTGACCTTTAGGGTGATACTCTCTTTCACGGTGTGTTCTGATCAAAATGCATGAGCTCTGGCACAGGGGTGAGCTCCACAAGATCCCTTACCTCCACCCATCCCCCCCTTTAATTATGATTTTTTTTTTTAATTTTGGTAAATTGAGTTTTTTTTTTAAAACATTGTAAGTGGTACAGTTACGGGGACACCTTTCTCAGTTGTCAGTTAAAAGCGTGAACCGTTTTTTTTTTTTTTTCCAGATGATGTCTTCAAACACAGGAGCAAATCCATCACACCCTGTAGGGATGCAGTCTGACAAGCTGTCAACATCACTACACATCAAATCCTATACACTCAATCTAAACATGTTTCCGATTTGCCTCTCTCTTTCTGTCACGCAACAGCTAAAACACATCTGGGGCCCAGCACGAATCTCGAGCAAAGCGCCGTCTAACTGTGCACATGGGTGGAGTTTTCTTTCATTTGGTATTTTACTCGACTAGTAGTTGGGGGCGTTTGCGCAGTTGTGGGAGGAAACATAGTCGACTGCTGGCCAATTAAATTGGCTCCCCTAATTCCCTTTAAATTCAGTGCACAAAAAGCAGTGCGGTCGACATGTGACCATATGCAGGAAGTAAATATCAAGCCACACATTTACAGCTCCAATATAACGGCTTGTACTCTTCTGCTTTTTTTCAATAAAATTTTGGAGTGTCGATCCATTAATCCATTTTCCATAGCTCTCACCGGACACCATTCATTTTCACATTCACACCGTCACACCGGAAATGAATCCATGCTGCCTGCAACCCAAGTCAGGCGAATGTACAGGTACATACTCAGTGATAGATTTTGAAGTGTGTCTTTGGGAATTTCTGTCCATTCATCCAGAAGAGGAGAGGTAGAGTTTACTGATGCTAGAGCTGAGTGAAGGCCTCCTTGTTCACCATCAATTTTTTAGTTCATCCCAAAGGTGTTTCATTCGGTTGAGGTCAGGAGGTCAAATTTTTGCGCACCTAACAATGTTGGACGCATGAACGCTAAGATGAACAGGGTTAGGAGAATGACTTCAAAAATGTATTCCAATAGCGTTATTCATTACATGTTAAAAAATGGCAGTAATGTTAAGTGTTGCACTATATTCATCTAATTTAACTTGAGTACTTTCACTTGATATCTCCAATGCCAAAAATTCTTATAAGACAAAAGAAACCAAATACCAATGTTGAATGGTATTTTCTGTCTTAAATTTATTTCATCAAAAAATTGAGCCAACGGTTAGATGTGTCTATTTCAAAGCTACACTAAGTATTACTACTAAAGTAGTGTAGCTCGAGTTATCGTTCAACATAACATCACCACTCTGTCGCAAAACACCATATTTTCAGAGGCAATATTCGCTATTTCAATCAAGTTAGCTTCTGCTAATACCAGTGGTCTTCTCTGCAAATGTTTCTTTAAAACAGAAGTCGACACTTGCACTATATCGTAGTTTTCTTCCCCCTTTCTGCTTCATATACAACCCGGTAAAATGCACATGAACTGTTTGTGTGTTTGTCTGTTTATTTATCTATTTATTAAAAAAAGCAAGACCATACTGTCTATGCTGTGAGCCTGTGTGTGCCATATTCCCATCTTGTTCCATCTCTGAGGTTTTGAATGGGGTCGGGGGGTGGGGGGGTGTAATAAAATGCATTAACTGTCGCGGAATCCTTTCCTAATTACGTAACGCTGTGTTCCATTACACTCCAAGTCTAAAGATGACTCATTAGATTTACTGGAGAGGGGGCCTACAACCTTTATTAATGACAATTCTGTACTCATCATGTCTCTCAACTTGCACAACATATGAATTAGCATGCCTCCGCTTTGATTTACTTAAGTTTTAAAAAAATATCTGGATTTCAATTGTTCTATGCTCCTGAAATAATGCTTTTCCCAAGAAGGATTAGAGAGTCTGCGAAGATTGTTATGTTTTGGTCAGGGAGATGTCCCTTAGGTTATGCCTCTGGGAGCGTGAATCAACATCGAGTCTGTTGATTTGAACTTGAGGTCACTCGACTCCGTTTAGCAGTAATCCTGGTGATGATGTCCGAACACACACACACAATCACGCTCCCAGATGCATAAATATGCGCCACGGCCCTCGACTCGGGGGGAGGGAATGAGGCTGAAAGTTACCAATTATCAGGAGAACGATGACCGACAGCTGTTGCAGTCTTGATTGTGTTTTCTTGACTGATTTTTGCTTACCCTCCACATTGTCTATTTGGCCAGGTTTCCCATTGCCTTTTATTTGGTTTTAAGCTTTTTGAAAGTCTTTAATTGCATACTGTACGTCTTAAATTGTGTTCAAACATTATGAGCTGTCCTTTGAGTATTTTTGTGACAGATGTTCTGGAGCTCTGCAGGAGCTTGAGTACTGTTGTATATACTGCATTATCAAAGGAGAACCCAATCGGAGCGGTGCAATACATTGAGTTGAAGCAAAACGTTGCTCATGTCTCCGGAGGACAAGAGATAATTGGAAAGAAATGAGTGCTGTCACAGTGCTGCTGCAGACTAATGACTGATTTGCCAAGCTTTATGAGGGCACTGATGTGCTCCCGTTTAAAAATATAACATCAAAATCTGACACACCTGAGTTCAACTTCTATTTATATTTGGAAAAAATAAAATATCTAGAAATGTAAGTTGTGCACGTTCCAATCTGCATGAATCATTCGCAAACACTCATTAAGTTCTTTTGTTTAGCCTCAATCAAGTGAGATCATCAAAATTTTAGAACCCAAACATCTCAGTATGATGCATTGCAGTTCTATACCACGGCAAACTACCATATTCATAAACTCATTCATAAATCTCTCACAGTGTCAATAAAAATGGGCATACGTAATGATCTATTTAATTGCGTAAAATACATTACATGGTCAATAAATATTTATGTGGAAAGTGTACTCCCCACGTCATTGCATTTCGTACGTATGGTTTGGTATGGTTTCGTACAAATTGGTGCCGTTGTTAAATCCAGCTTCTTTCATCTTAGACAGCTGGCTAAAGTAAAACCTCTCCTTTCTCATGAGCACCTTGAGACAGTAATTCACGCCTTCGTCACATCCCGGCTCGATTACTGCAATGCACTTTACTTTGGAGTCAGCCAATCCTCCATTAAGCGTCTCCAGCTGGTCCAGAATGCCGCTGCTCGCCTCTTGACTGGTACTCGTAAGAGGGAGCACATAACTCCTACTCTGGCATCCCTTCACTGGCTCTCTATACATTTTAGAGTTCTTTTGAAGATCCTATTATTTGTTTTCAAATCTTTAAATGACCTCGCGCCACCTTACCTCGCTGAGCTCATCCGCCCCTACACACCTGCCCGGCGCCTCAGGTCTGTGGACCAGACATTATGAGAAGTACCAAGAACTAAACGGAGGCTCAGAGGGGATCGAGCCTTTTCCGTTGCTGGTGCCTCTCTCTGGAGGGACTGGACCTCCCACTGAACATTCGGCAAGCCCCCTCGCTACCCATCTTTAAAACCCGCTTCAAAACTCACTTGTATTCTTTGGCATTTGACTCAGCATGACTCAGATTTGATCTTAGTTTTACTGTTTGGTGCCTACCACCATCTTTGTTACTGATTATTGCTTTATTGTATATATGTTAGTTGCTCCATGTACAGCACTTTGTATGCAGCAATGGCTGTTTGAAAGTGCGCTATATATACAGTTGAGTTGCGTATGTGGATATTCATGAAAGGTGCATTGACAACGTTTACTCTTTTGTTTCCCATCACCACATGAGATCATTCACATCTTATCACCGAATTTTTCTGATTTAAATAAACAGCAGTGAAATATGAGCCTGCGTCAGAGCCAAATGGGCTTTCAGCAAGGAAAACATATGTCTTTATTACAGGAATACATACAATTGTCTATTTTTTGTTGCAGACTCCTAACAGCCTATTTGTTGAGATGGGCTTTAAATATGGACTTTCTGAAGTGACTAAAGTTCCACTTCAATCCACATCGTAAATCATACAAGTTTATACACCATAATAGCGTATTTGACTCTAAATTGTCCCAAGGTGTGAGTGTGAGCTTGGATTGTTGTTCGTCTGTGTGTGCCCTGCGATTGGCTGGCAACCAGTTCAGGGTGTCCCCCGCCTACTGCCAGAAGACGGCTGGGATAGGCTCCAGCACCCCCCGCGACCCATGTGAGGATAAGCGGATCAGAAAATGGATGGATAAATCCAAAACATTTTTTTTTCATCTTGGAAAAAAATGGATGGATTTCCTGCCAGATAAAGGATTGGAACTGCCGAAGCTCAAGTATTTTATCCTGTGACAGATATAGAGACTCATAATGACACACCTGAACCTCGGGTCTTCTGCTGTAATCTATGAGTGGGTGTCATAGAGATGAATAGTGATTGTATTGTGGCATGTCGTCCTCTGCCGTGAGTGTTAAATGGTGTGAGGATGACATGCACTGTAAATCCACCACACACTCCTTATGTGTATTTTCCGATTTGGCATGCAGTGTGCAGCTCTGCAGTACTTAATGACAAGCTGCTAAAAGGTGCGATGTGATCTTACTTTGTAACGAGAAGGCATTGGTGTGCAGCACCTGTGTGACAATCAGCCCGGTACAGAAAGTCTGGAGGATATGCAGGCCAGGAGAGGACTGCGTACCTCAATTATTTATTCATATGCAATCTATAATGGTTGTGTTGAAACCTTATTAATTAAAATCTGTTTTATTGTAAGTAGCTCCGATGAGCTCAGACGATATTCCAAAGATTCCAGGTTTTGATATAAGGAAGCTACTTTGTTAAACTTGGCCTTGTAGACCTATTAGTGTATTAGTGAAAGTGAATTTATGGTGGATTCGTCCACTTCATTTTAAGGGCATCAATAGTAGACACTGCAATTTGTCTGTGATCGGAAACACCACAGAAAATCGGCAAATCCCTGTAAACTATTTTGTTGGGGAGTTTAACAAGCTTAAAAAAAAACTTTGGCTGCGTTTCAGTTTATCATTGACTCAATGGCAAGTTTGTGAAGCGTGTCCAAAGAGATTGGGCAAGAGTTGACGTACACCCTGCGATAACGCTGGACAGTATCAAGGTTTCCATTTAAATTTTAATACGGCAAATGACATAAAAATACAGTACAAGTATTAGCAATTTTTTTTCAATTGGCACAGCCGCTCTTGCAGACTTTTTGACTCATACTTATATCATCCATCTGGGAAGGAACAAAAGATGTCTTATTACTTTTAGAACTCATGAGCTTAATCTCTTGAAGCAATCTAGTACAAACTAATATTTTGTTTATAGACTGGCGCATATGTGATGTCTCCACAAATGAATTGAAATAAAATAAGATAAGATAAGAAAACCTTTATTGGTCTCACAATGGAGAAATGAAATATCCGAACTGAGACATGATTTGAATTCTAATATACTTTTCTTATTTGCAAATTAATAATTCACAACCTCAAAAGAATCACCTGGAATGTAAAACATTAATGACACACTATCCAGTCTCTTTGTCCCTCTCAGTCATATGTGTCGAACACTAGTTGTTTTTTTATGACACATGTGCTACAAATCTTTTTGCAGACACATTTTTTATGTGTGTGTCCTCTAAAATAGGTTCTTACCTAATTGTGCACAGGCATTAAGCATGTAAATGGAGATAAGGCTGTCTGAGGTTCAGGCGTCTTACCGTCCTTAACCTTGGCATCACATCATTCGGCCATTGTGGTCATCAAGCCACGTATTGTTCACTGAATGCATCTGCTGAAAAGGGTACTCACGTTAGCAGAGGCCACACAAAACACCAATTTGTGCATTCTATTCAAAGAGTTATGTTTTTTCACCTTACTGGATTTTTTTTTTCAGCAAGGTAATTCAAAATTCTTTCCAGGTGAAAGAGAATCATGCATGCTGCAATTTAGGAAGAAACCTCATAATTGTTGCAGGAAACATCCTGTAGACAAGATATGGACAAAAATCTTAAATTCGGTGAAGGTTCCGGACAGAATCGGACTCTACAAATGTAAACTCAAGAAAAGTTAATCGAACAAAAAATATTTATTTCCAAAAATAGGCGCAAGGCTGACAAAGTACAAATAATGGAGAACAAGCCAGGAATAATGCAAAGAAAACAAAAAGCCCTTGCACAAGGCAAGGAAAAAATATGAACGAAAATAGCTTATAACAAAAGTACAAGACCAACCCGCATGGAGAACAAACCGAGGAGACACTTAAACACACCAGAAACTACTTACTTGAATAACAAAGAGCATAAGCCAAGGCTAGAACCCCAAAAAAACGGAGAAAACATAAATCAACGCAAAAGCCAAAACCAGAACGAGAATAATAAGAGAGCGTCAAGAGATAATGCACGTGAACAATCACTTGTGCAAGGCGAAATCATCCGACACCTTAACGTGGGTCCATAAGGTCCGTAAATAGTCCCAATAGTTCTGATGCCAGACAGGTGCGCAGTGGGAAAACCAGGAAGGCCTCCGCCACCTGCTGTGCACTAACCGAACGTGATCATGACAGTCGGGACATGCTCCGGATCACTCGCGACCCTACAAGTGCTCTAGAAAATGGATGAATGGGTGTTTCCAAATGTGTGAAAAAGTTTGGGGACCTTTCTGTTCCTTTATGACTGCCAGAGTGCATCAATGAAGACCCATAATAGCTTCAGCAATCCTTCGCAAGCACCGGGTGAACATGCCACCTGCACAGAGCCTGGAGCTCAGGTTGAAACCCTCCATCCTCAGGTGGATTTTTGAACCCAACAGGCTGCAAAAATGCGTCGCATGCCCTCCGTGTCATGCTGTTGCTCATCATGGCGTGCGTGTGTATGTGCGTGCGCGTTAACAGGTCGATCACGGGAGGTTGGTTGATCGAAAAGTCGGTCCAAAAAGTTTGGGCACCCCTGCTAAGTCATTCTCCGATTTTGCAACTGTTTCGTTGAATAGTAGATCTTTTCTTACATTGGTCATTGGTATGTTGGCAGGTAAACTGGGCTGCTGCAGTCGTACTTTGACAAAAGTAAAAAGCATTTCGCCGCTCAAAACACTCATACCCGAGTTACATATTGATAATAAACTGAATTCTGCTGTCAATTTAAAAACTCATTCTGCTACACATACCCTGTAATTTGAAATATCTGGATTGTAGCCATTCATATTTCTGTCAAAGGAATTTATATCTCTAGCACTGTCATCTTGGGGGGTAAAAAAAGCCTTATGCCCTGTGGAAACAGAGGCCAAGGGAATGATTGGAATGAAAGTAAATTAGACCGCATCAAAGAGCTCAACTGCTACCTCGATCACCGTTAAGAAATAGTTGCTGTCCATGCGTGTGTGTGTGTGTGTGTGTGTGTGTGTGTGTGTGTGTGTGTGTGTGTGTGTGTGTGTGTGTGTGCGCGCGCGCGCGTGTGTGTGTGTATGCTTCTCTTCAAGAACAAATTAAAAATTTCACTTTGGGTCACGACATTTTTCAGTACACCGTTTAGCCAGCAATTTGGTTGAAGAAATGTTTGAGAAATCAATTGAGGACACCAAAAGCATTACAATATTTATGAACAATCTCCCGGTGCCATGCAAATGCATCTTGCAGGGGCTTTGAACAGAATAGGGGAACATACTGCAATTGTTAAAGCTGTAAAATTGCACATTTTCTTTGAGTTGAAATCTGTTGAGCAATGGTGATTCTAATATGTCTGCCGCTAAGCAGTGACATGATGCTGACTAAAAGAAATCATTGATTTTCATTTACATTGTAAGATCAATGCAAATGTCAACTGTGGCGGTCAGTTCCAAGTGTGCGATGACTTAATGCCAGGGACAGGACAGAAGAGTCTGAGTGCCTCTCTGACCAACAGCAGATGACATGATGCTCGACATCTTTCCTTTCACTCTTTTCCCTCTTTCCTCCTTCTGTCTGTTGCAGATCACATTCTTCATGTTGTTGTCAGCAGTTTGCGTGATGCTCAACCTGGCAGGCTCCATCCTCTCCTGCCAGAATGCTCAGCTGGTCAACTCCCTCGAAGAATGTCAGCTGGTAAGACCATATGAGCCGCTCCGGAGCCCACTCTCCAACTTCCATCATCCATCTATTTATTCTCGAACACTTATTTTGTTCAAGGACACTAGGGAGTTAGAGCCTATCCCAAATGACATAGAGGTGGGGGACGCTCTGGACTGCTTACTCCTCAATCAGACAAGACACTTGCAGACATACAACAGACAGACAAAAACACACATTAATGTACATTTACGGTGATATTCACAATTACAATTTTGATTCTTCATTGACACATGTTTTGGAGAAGAGATTTGAATAAAATTGGAAGAACTCCATAAATAAGGGCCTTTTTTCGTGAGCATGTGCACTCAGCGTAAAAAACTAGCACACTTCATTATCTTGCAGGGCCAAGTCGAGTTGACTGTGTTTCGCAATTTGGCAGATCGTGTTGCACCTCGCTGGGTGTTCCAGCAAAGCGGTCTCCAATTGCTCAGTCACGTGCAGCCGGCCAGATATGTTATTCGCAAGGGGAGATCTTGCAGTTCACCTGTATAAACGCACTTTGCGTGTGCCAATGTCGTGCACAGACTGCATGAGTCTATTTCTGCTTCTGCAGTGTCAAGCCTTGTCTTGCGCTTCAACCACCCTGATTTTAATGGAAATGAGGGGAGCCGCTACGATTGGCTGGTAGTTAGTTGTCTACTTCCCATTCCACAATGAAGCACATCGGCGCAAACGGCCCCTTTTTCCCCAATTTGTACCTCTGCAAAGTGGAGGAAAATAGGAAAAGAAAGAAAGCTCCACCCACGCGCACAGCTTGACTGACACAGAGCATGAAACTGGGACCCATAAACTCCGTTGAGTCCCTTGAAAAGAAATGTAATCAATTATTCGTGACAAACGGACCAATATATGTGATTTGAACCTTGCAATAAGGCAGAAATATTGCTGTGCTGATCTATCACTAAAATTATCTTCAAAAGAAGACATCAATTCAAGTGATGGCATATTCTCCAAGCCACAGTAACAGCGCCACAAGAGGGCTTTTTTTTTTCTTATTTGAACTGAATGGATGAAATCGTTCCCATTAGTCAGTTGTGAAATTCATGCGGGAAGCCATTTTGGTCCTACCTTTTGTCAGGGTCGGGTACATTTTCAAATACAAATGTCAACGAGTGTTGTTTATAACTTTCATAACTTTGTTGCTATAAATTGGGAATTTCTCCATTGTGAGATGAATAAAGGTTTTCTTATTCTTATTCTTATCATTCGGATGCCATTTAGTGACTCAACCAGTACCCAAACCAGCAAATCCATATTTGCAATAAGCAGCACATCTCAGTTCACAAACAAAAGGTACAGGCATGAAAAATAAAAATTGATCTAACTTTTGTGTGTCTTCTGCAGGAGAAGATTTCGATATACTGTACGTCTTGCATTAAGTATAGTAAAAGTGTGACATTACCAATATGACACATTGTCGAAACAGTGAGCAAAGGAGGACGTCTTTTTTTTTTTTCTGAACATGTCAAGTAGCTGTTAGTGTCAGTGGAAAACTATATCCCGTGTTCTTTCACACTGTTGAGATGTCTTCACAATTCTCTGACCTATCAACCCCGTCGTCAGTAAATCTTACAACACGGTGTCAAGAAGTGCGACTGAACCCTTCATTACGTTCAAGAATTGAAATTGAAACTCACACCAAACCACACCGCTTAACTCCCACGCTTAGAGGCTGCTTTTCTATCGACTCCTGTGGACTTCAGCTTCCTTCTTCATGTGGATCTCCAGAGATCCTCCCCAAGTCCCAACCGAAATTTTATTGCATCTCATCTCCTCTCCCCAAACTGAATTAACCCATACTTGTTGAGTTCATGTCCTGCTTTCTCTCAATCTGGGACACATTGCAGAGGTGAGCTCCACCGCAATCCCTCCCTGGGTAGCTCCTCATATTTCACAGTGTCTCTTTGGTTACACATGTGGATTCTTTTACAACTGCCCATTGCATGTAAAACAGCAGTACTTTTTTTTTTTACTGCATTTAATCGTAAGTGTAAACACAACCACTCTCTTGTCCCCTAATTTTTGTAGACCACCATGTCTGATGTGAGTATATTCATGAAAAATCATTATCTCCTCCTCTTCTCTCAGCTCAAGTTTGACAGCGACGGAGTGTGTGTTTGCTGTGAGTTCCAGCAACAGAGTTCAAGCTGCAACAACCTTGGAGAGACGCTGAAACTGAACCCACTGAGGGACTGCAATACCATACGCTTGCGTCTCAAGGTGTGTACGTCCACGTAGAGCGGTTTTCCAAAAGAAATCAGCATGCTTTCAACAAACGAATGGATTTTGTCAGTGCAAACCTCCTCAATGTTTATTTGTGTTTTCCCCTGCAGTAATTGCTCATCGGCAGAACATGGATTATTTTTGGGTTGCTGCTGTACATATTGGACATGGTTATCACAATAGTACACTTTGAGATTTTTTAGATGATCATTTCTTTAAATACTGGAATGACCTTTAATGTCGAAAAAAAAAATCATAATAATCATAAATCTTTGAAAAGGTATCAAATCTATTTATGTCTGTATTGTCGTTGTGGAACACATTCCATGTGGGAATATGCATGTGCTGTTTCCAGCTTCACCAGTCACTGATTAAATCAGGAGGAAGTGAAAATTGGCAGCAACATTTTTCTTTCCCCAAGTGACAAACCTCTTAGTATGGAGGACATAACTCGTCTGGCTTGGCTGCAAGTGCATGATCTCGGAAGATCATCTCCACTGCCCGAATGATATACAACTGTGCTTTTATTGCAGAACGGCAATCATATCCGTTCATTTTATGCCTCTGATTGATTAGAAAACATTGATAAGCAAATAAAAGACTCCTCGGGATGAAGCGTGCTTTGGAAAAGAGGAAAGATCAAGTACATTTATCATAGAGATCATTTCTCTTTCAACGACATCTGGGAATTAGGGCAATAAACCTTTATTAAGAGCGCAAGTCGTGAGACGTGTTGAGTTATGTGGAACCAGAAGCTGTCATGATCTGCTCCCCTGAGTCTTTACCATGCCACATGACTGGTTTACTCCGGTCCCGTTACAGACGATAACTAGGTAGCTGACATGCTCTTCCTCTGAGCAGAGATTATTCTAATGGGTGTATAGAACACTGACCATGGCCAACTTTTCAGATTCAGTGATTTCAGCTGGCACCAGGGCTGTAATTCATCAGTGGGATGGAACAATGCAATAAGTGTGTGTTCAAGGGCAGATTTGTAGCCTTGCTGTGAAAATCTCTCCCCAGATTGGCTTGGGACACAGCATCTATGGGTGGTTAATTATCTCCGTAACACTTGCCCAATGTTTTGTCCGAGCAAAATGTATGACATTATTAGGTGCACCGTCCTATATTAGCACTGTCGACGAATAATAACACAAAAGAGATCAGAAGTAGCTGTTGTATAACTGTGCACTTTTGGAAAATTGCTGTCCAAAATAATGGTTGGAATGCAAATTCTAGGACACCATACACACGCACAACATGATCTCAGCATGGCATGCATGAAAGAGGCCAGGCCACAGTGCTCCAAGGAGCCACGGTTGTACTGGGGAAGGTTATCGCTATCTCTCACAATGTTTCATTTGGCTGGTGTTAACATGCTCACACCCATGCATTGGGTTCCACTTTCCCACTCAGTAGGGAAAATACAGAGGGCGCTGCTGGAAGGAATGTTGTCAGGCTGTGCATTGTGGGTAAACATGCATACAATATTATATATGTGCAGTACTTAAGGTGCTTTGAAACTTTTGCTGGAATCTGTCCTCTTCAAGACAAATTCTTCCCCTGGATCCAATTTCCATGCAGTTGGTGTTTCTGTGCGGCCCGCCAGGAAATGAATTTCTATAATACGGTTATTAACGGTTTATGTGGTATAAGCTCCGAAGAGAGTAGTCCTTAGTCTCTGAGCAGTTGGGCACATTTCCTGGCTGAGAGTGTGATGGTGTCTGTTGATGAGTTGAATTCTCCCATAAAATAAACATTTTACATTTGACCTTGTACTGTTATTGTAGTCAGCGTTTCAGTTAAAGTTTATGGAGATCCTTGTTGGAACTATAAAGCACGGATGTCCACGTGCTATTTCTCTAACTCACTCTTGAGGAAACCTGGCATACCTTCGGTCAAAAATGTATTTTGTCAGATGATTCCAAGAAACTTTCTACGTTGCAAACAACAACCCCCTTGCAATAAGGGTGCATTATATGTACCGGTACTGTGTTTGCACTGACACGTGTGTCCTGATGGTTACATTTATACCTTTGTCCTTTTCAATCATCTCATCGTCTCCTCCTCATGTTCCCTCTCGTAGGAGCTGCTGTTCAGCGTGTGCGCCCTAAACGTCATCTCCACCATTGTTTGTGCCCTGGCGACAGCCATGTGCTGCATGCAAATTGTCTCCACTGATGTGCTGCAGATGGTGAGTGTGGACAATAATAATGGGAGGCCTTTTTTTTTTTGGCTTTCACTGGGAAAACAATCGCTATCGCCCTAGAATTGAATTATGCAATGTGATTCCCATTCTCCATCCCAAGCCTGTGAAAGATCATTTCATTTTAGCAAAAGTCAGCCGAGGACAACCGCCACAGGACCCGTGTCCTATCCTCTTGCAGTCGAATGAAACGCTTGAAACTCTCTTGTCATTTGTTCCGCAGAGGTGCAATATTCTCCGAATTAACTTTCCCTGTCATTTTATGTGGAGCAATAAAACTATTAAGAAAAGCTTAATACCTCCTGCCATGAGGGAAATTAACATGACCAAGCTATATTTGGTTTTCGCACCAAAATTTTTTTTTTTTTTTTTTTTTTTTTTTTTACTGCACCGATCAAAAGCAGAAGCTCTGCCAGTGCAAAAACAATTATGAATACAGTGACTGGTTTTCAGAATGAAATTATATTCTTTGTAGGAAAAAAATGTTATGGCATACTACTCGTTAAATATAGAAAAGGATAAATGAAGAGTTGTTGTGGAAAAATTTCCCACTTGGGAAATTTTTAAAATACTGTAGTAGCACCTGAAAGAAAAATGTCTTAAAATCGTACTGCAGCTTGCCAGCGCTTGAAACAGCAGCAGCGCAGCGGAATCAACTTTTAATATCTGAGGGGGATGCTGTGGGGACTTTATGGTTTGAAATAACAAGCAGGGACTTCTCGAACGACAGCGTGTCTCTTTTGATGTCTTTCAGTTCATGCCACACCGAACAAGAGAGCTAAACGCTGATTGTATGACTCCCCATGGAACTATCCTTCACCAAACGCTGGACTTTGATGAGTTTATTCCTCCCATTCCCCCACCGCCTTACTACCCCCCTGAGTACACCTGCACACCATCAATGGACGGACAAAGGTGAGAAGCAAAAGGCCTCTCATCAGTATCCCTTTTTTTTATTGCATCTAAGTTGCTTTCCCCAAATGTCGCATACTATCTGAGTGTCTTCTATTTGAAATCCTCCATATTTAACAAACAAAGAGATTTAGTACTTGAAGACAATGATCATGGAGACTCGATTTATTCATGAACATTTTTATTGACAATTCAAGATAATTAAACTGTTGCAACTACATAATACTGTTCAAATAAGCTCAAGATTCTAATAACCATCTTTCATAACCTGTTTAAGTTAATTCTACCCAAGGAATAGAGGCAGAGTATTAAAAAAAAAAAAAAAGCACAGTCGAGAGCAGGAATGGGCAACTATATGATGGAGGGAGCTACAATTTTTCAAAATTGCACAGGACCGAGCACTTCCTGACCAAATGCTGTATTTGATAGAAATGACATTTTAAACATGGACAAAATATGTGCATGTCTGTTTTTTTTTTTTTTAATTGAACCAAGGCAATTCACAAAACCGGTGCCTCTTCATTGCACGGTGACTCCACCGTCCGTCACAACAGCCACTCACGGGGCATGTGTACTTAGACTTGCATTGTTTAATCTTTGAGACAAGTGTATGTTACTGATGAGGCGGCGGGCTCTGTGACTGGGTGGCCAGTGAAACGCGGGGCATCTTGGACTTGCTGTCAAGCAGGCGCACTATATGGGGGAGCTAACGCGCTCGCTCGCAGCCTCCCTGGCACTGAAGAATGACTCGCGGGCCAGATGATGGACCGGCAAAATTTACTGATGTGCCCACCAATGGTTGATTTATTGTTAGGTCCTTTGAATGCTAAGCCAATGTGTTCACTTCCTGCTCTTTCAGCGGTATATGTGAATGTGCCCTTTCCTGGTAATTACATCATAGACCCTCCTTATTCTCTCCAGTTTGAAAGTGTCTCCATTAGCTTTTGTAACTCTAAAATGCCACAAAATTGATCATGGCTGACAGCATCTCGACGTTCTTCTTCTCGAATGGAGATGAGTTGGAAGTGTTCCTAAGTAATGGCTGCAAATATGTGGGAAACAGTGTTATTACAGTTAAAAATAGATCAGGTGATTTATAATGTTCAAAACTTAATCTTGGGGCCACTCCGAGTGTTGGCCACCAATTGCCCATCTCTGTTCCGGACGAATTTGAATTGCAGGGAGTGAGGCAAAGGCAGGCAGCATGTTAAATTGGCGCTTAGCACTCGAGAGAGAGATTCTGGCTTTCACGAACAGCTCGAATCTTGTGAGGAGTTTCCATATTTTCCCTGTGCTTGCGTGGTGTTTCTCCAGTGCTCCGGCTTCTTTCCACATTCCAAAAGCAAACAGGTTAGATCCAGTCAAGATTTTGATTCACCATAAGTGTGCATATAAGTGTTAATGTCTTTGTTTTCAATGTGGTCTGGTGAGCAGTCCAAGTCGTACCCGTCGTCTTGTTGGGCTAGTCTCACCCAGTACCCTAACTAGGGCAAACAGGATGGATGAATGGATGAAAACAAAGACAAAAAAATATTTGTTTCAGTGCATAACACCCGTCACATGTAGCTTGTCACGTTGTAAGGTGGTGGTGGACCCCAAAAAGCAGGCAGGAGGGAGGAGCAGGGTGTACTTGAAGAAGTGTATTGATAAAACACAGAAAACTAAATCCTAAACAAACAAAGTCCTAACAACAAAATGAATCCAAAGTATCAAACAGAACCATGACTGAAGCTCAAAAAAATAGAACAGGACCATGACAGAAACAAACAGGACAAGCAAACAAACAATGACCCGACAATGAGTGGTCGGGCGGGAGTCCTTTTAAACAACTAATTACATAATGACCAACAGGTGTGTAGCCGCAGGGGGAGCCCTACAGTGCCACCTGTTGGTCCCAAACCGAATCATGAAATAGCTAAGGTATTAACGCTGTTTTTAATGGTGTGTTAGTCCTATGAGCAAGGTCCCAGGTACTTTTACAACGAATTAAATTACCTTGGTAAAGAGGAGATATGATAAAAGAATAATTCTACACCTGTGAGGTAAATTATAAATGATTGTGCCTCCACTTTGCAGGAAAAATATCATGATATGACCTTTATATCCTACTAAGAATAATTAAAGTAACTTGAGAGTCAATGTACAACAGAAGAAATACACACAACACGGTAAATTTAAATACAAAGAGTATGAACTTTGAGTAAAAACAAAACTATTAAACACACAAATGGTCCATATATATGGTGGTCCATATATTCAACTCAAATGGTCCTTCGTAAAAGAAACAAATCTGTTTTTCGTTGCAGGCCTTATGTTGCTCGGCTGCGTTGTGACCTTCCAAACGTAAAAAAAAAAATGGCCCCTTCACTTGCCATGCAAGCAAAATTAAACTGTCACGTGCACTGTGTTTGAATGGTACTCACGAGTCCTCAGTTCCAGATAGATAGTGATGGGCGGCAAGATACGAAACCACGTCCACGCACTGGCCAACAGAGTTGGCTAATCCCAAAGGATAGGCCAGAGAGCTGACAAAGTACAAGATGACTTTATAACCACACAGCAGGAAGATGATGAGGGTCCAAAGAGAGCTTCCTTGGTCCCACTACATCGGCTACAAACATACAGTCGACTCTGCATCCACTTGTTTCAGAGGCTATTTTTTACCACACGGATTCTCTAGTGTCCAAGTCCTTCACTGCTTCGCGGCCATCGAGAATGACGACTGGCCTCTTAAATGGTCCGTGCATGACTACGCCCACCACTACCTAATTGGACATTACTGATGCATCATCCAATGACAATTTAGAAATAATCAACTTAGACTACGGCTTTTTTTAGCTTAAAATTTTAGTCTGGGCTACAAATGTTCATGCACAGATCATAACAATTAGTCAGAGTATGTGATTATTTAGTTCTGCAACTGCTTTGGGATGCATACAGTATCTTCAATATTATACTGTGAATAAGTAGGTGATTCCATGTAGGATACATTTGTTTGATTTCAGTCATGCATTTGTTGTCCATATTGCGGTTAATCACAAATTGCTTCAACATGTAAATCATCGAAATCTATACGTTTACGTGGAACGTCAACTCTCTCATCTAGTTGGCCGACTGAGCAATCACTCGACAATGTAATGTAGCCACAAATCTTGAGTGGGGAAAAAAAACATGATTAAAATGATGTAGTTGACTGGTGATCAATCCAGAGTGCACCCTGTCATTCACAAGTCATGTTGATTGCAATACATTTCAACTCACCCGTGACCCAGAAGAGAAAGTGGTCAAAAATGGATGGATGAAGAGATGGATTTAGGTTCTAAGACCAAGTGACACTAAACCAAACATTGTTTCATTGGTTGATTAGTTTTAGATGCAATGCTTGTTAGTGCAGTAACTTGCAATGGAATAACTCATTTTATTTTAAAGTATAGATCATAAACCAAGAGAGAGTACTGCTGATGGAGTCAATGCCCTAGAAAGCATGCACATCTGCTGGCCAATTATGCTATAAATATAAACATGACAGGGATAACAATTTATAGGGTTCCTGTGCAGAGCCAGGAGTGTTTCATGACATCATCGCGCTGTAGCTCGTGGGAAATCTCAGGTTGTATTTCTTTCTCATATGAAGGGATTATTTTAATTTGAGATACACATGCATGTTGGAGGGGGTATGTTTAAACATTTTATAATTTACTGTATTTGCCAAATCAATCATCTCTGGCACAGACACACCAAAATCAGAACAGCCTCATGTTAACTCCAGAGCAGTGGTTCTTAACGTGGGTTCGATCGAACCCGAGGGGTTCGGTGAATCGGTCTCAGGGGTTCGACGGAGCCTCTGCCATGTAGGTTAAGACACGCCCGACTCAACATTTAGTTATGACACGCCCACCTGGCCATCACTGGCTGCCGATGATCACATTACATTGCTTGTTCAATCAGTGCTGCAGGAAATTTAGTACGCTCAGTAGTCAACGTGTGACTGTCGTGGTAGTACGTCATCCAAAATAAAAAAACGTATACTTATGACTTGAAATTGTCTTTACTTTTTTTCTGTTTTTAATAAATGTGTGTTTTATGTGTTGAATTTGTAAAAAGTCATATTTTTGTTTTTCACTAATGAAGAGTTCGGTGAGTGTGCATATGAGCTGGTTGGGTTTGGTACCTCTAAAAAGGTTAAGAGCCACTGCTCCAGAGTGTCATTAAAGGTCAGATGACTGTTAACTTGTCTGTCGATATCTGCTGTGCGCTGTTCTACCCCTAGGTGGCAGTACCGCGCAAGACATGGAGCTCAATGTGTGAGCCAGGTAGCTTTGAGTAGTTTTCCCCAATAATATTTAGTTTGGTTGTCTTAAACATTAAAGTGGGGAAACTATGCAAAAGAATAAGAATGTGAGAAGAGAACAAATACATTTAGGTATTTTACATATTAGTGTATTAACGTTACAGAAATACAAAAAAAAGTAATATTTTGCTAATTGCCAAGGTTACTGACAGCTGTGACATTAACCTTAAACTTAAGCACTGTTGTATGAACAGTGTACATAATGTAGTTTAGTGCTGAAGAAAATATGGTTGAATATGGTTCTTGTGATCATTTTCTCCGAGTTAAATTAATTACTGGCACTAAGCCACTAGCCCTTTGACACTGTCATTCTCTCGCTACTATGATTTATTAATGGTCAGAAATATTGGTATTACTGTATGTCTTTTACAGAGGCCTGCACCTGGATTTCCCCCATCCCCCCTTTAGTGCCATTTATGGGGTGCCTATCAACAGCCCCGGGACGCTATACCCAACTGACTTGCCCCCACCATATGAGTCTGTGGTTGGGCAGACTCCTGCAAGCCAGGTGAGGACGATCACGACTTCCCGATAGGCTCTCTGCTTGGTGAAATTGATTGCAGTGCCCATCAGGTATTTTCTTCATGTCCATTTCTCACGTTATGCATTTTAACTGCATCTTCAAGAATCTTCAAAAAATCATTTGTGGTGTCACACAAAAAAATATATTAGCCCATTTTTTTAAGACGGTCGCACTGTTTTATATTCACTTTGTGACGCATTCCATTTCCCTAATTTTCATGTGATCAACTCTGAAGCTTAATGTTGATTTCCTGTTCCGTGAAGGCAATACTTTATCAATTTATTGTTTTGTTCTTTTCCATTTAATCCAAAATCTAAGTTAAAAAATATTCACACACACCCCCACCACCACCAAAATCAAATTACCCAATCATAGCAGATTCCAATTCAGATGCAGGTCAATTACCATTTCAAAATAAATAATAAATTGTAAGTACAAGAAACATGTCTGTTACCAACTTGTATGATCATTAGAAGCATGTCAGATGCTGTAAATACAGAAGCTACATTTACAGCTACAGTTACAGTTACCAGTTTAAAAAAAAAAAAAAAATCCTTATAAAGTGATATGGTCTTATAGTGCCCCCTACTGTTCCGGTTTGCTATTGAAGACCCCAGGCCTCACAACTGTAAATTTAAACACGACCAAAATAACTAAATAATAATCATTAAAACGGTGAACGAAACTAAAACAAAGTTATTCTACTGATAATTTGCTGCTGACAGGTCACCACCAGTATCGAACAACAAGCCACTGAATCCAGTTTATGTGACAGAAACACAACAGCAGGACTCAGCACTCAAGGTAACACTTGGCTTAAAAAAATGTTGTTTTCCTCTTACTGATGGTGTATTTGTTTCACATTCTCAGCCTCTGTAGACAGTGCATCCCTGATGGTCTCAGAAGTTGCCGATCATGACCACACTTGCTCCTCCGAGGATTTGTGTTCTCTAGAAGTCCAAGGCTCGGATTCCTCTCCCTACAGTACACACCAGACTGCACCGACTAATGGAAGCTGCACCAGCCTTGAGCTTTGTACACGCACACGCTGCCATCATTTCTTGTCCAACACCAACGCTCGCCCCAGTGACACTGGATTCAGTGAATCCTCACATACCCAGGAGTCCCTCGAACGCTCTCCAGACTGGTCCTCCGAAAACTACAGTAATTTGGATCAAGAGGATTCTGCAGACAACTCGCATGTATGTGACGAACTTAGGCCTTCCATGCACCTCTGCGATGAGCTTGCATCAGCCAAACATTTGCCAGAAGAGCCGCCAAAAGTGTCACCGCATTCTCTCATTAAAGCACGAATGATGAGTCGGAAACTCCCGCTTGCTGTCGCCGCCTCCCCACCTCTTCAGCTTTGCTCCCCCACCTCAGTGGCCTCCTCTGGGGGAACCTTAGCCATCAGTCCCTTAGCTCCCTCTCCCTCTCCATCTCCTCCCAGCAGGCTACGAGGCCCCCGGTTGTGCTTTAGTGTTTGGTCCTCTTCTTCTACTCCACAGCCCCCCTCTACCTCAACTCAAAGTGGACGTTCACCCGCAGAGAAGCCTCGAGGGCTCCGTGCAGCCAGGAGGTACCGCAAGCTGGCACGTATTGTCCGCTCCAGCAGCGACCCCATCTCCTGCTCCTCCACTACTGGAAGTAAGAGAGATTTGTTTTACATCTGAAAATTGCATCTCACCATAGTCATCCACCTGTTAACTGTCGATACACGTGGTGTGGCTCCGACTAATTTCAGTGGACACAATAGTTCACGTTCAAAGATGGTCTTCGTCTTCTTTTACAGGAGAATCTTGTGTCTCCATCTCTGCAATTAATGCTTCAACTGGAGATTCAGATCGTACATCACCAGAGCAAGGTAAAGTTTGAAATGGTTTTAAGCTCTAGCGGTTTTAAGGGCTGGAGAAACAGTGCCCCCAAAAGATGGTGCTTTTCTTTCTTTCTTACTAATATGTATGTTATATTTAATACAGAGAATTGAAACTATTTCCACATTTGTGTGTCCAAACAAATCAAAATCTAAGGATTATTCTCATAATCCTTTAATTGCAGTTTTATCATTTTAATTTCCACTGTAGGTTTTGGATGCTCTTTACTTTTTCATCTTATGATGCCCATTAACTGTAATCATAACACTCAACATTATGTTTGCCTCAACCTACATAGAACTAAACCTAGGCTTTGTTTCCTGTTCATCCATAATCCTTACCCAGTGTAAGATTTAAAATTGATACGCCCCAAAGTTGATGTTTCTTTAGCGATGCTCATCTGTTGTCCTTTCTCGTCTTCAGAGCAGTCATGTATTTCAGCGGAGGCTATTGGAGGCAAAGCAAGTCGCATATGCGCCAAGAAGCATCAAAAGGAGAGCAGAAAAATAGACCTTCACCTTAAAACAAGAGCTCTGCAAGCACACGCCCCCCATGAACGACCACAGTCCTTGGCTGACCTCAAAATGTATAAAGACACTAAAATATTGGTGGCCAAGTTCCTGGAGCATTCAAGTTGTAATTTACCACCTGAAGTCCAGCAAGTTGTCAACAATATTAAATGTGTCATCAAGTCAGATGAGAGACACATGGAGGAGGCCATATTTAGTGCCAATGTCATAGACCAGGTAACTTTATCTTCCAGTCTCTCTCTCTCTCTCTCTCTTTCTCTCTCTCTCTCTCTCTCTCTCTCTCTCTCTCTCTCTCTCTCTCTCTCTTTCTGAATATGCGTGATCTTTTGCAATTGTAGTTTTCGGTGATGTACCACGACATCATACTAACAGGTTTTTTCCTAATACTGTAGTGTGGCTGCCTCTAAAAAGAAAAACTGAGTATCGATCTATCCATCCATTTTCCGATCCGCTTTATGCTCACAAGGGTCGTGGGGGTGCTGGAGTCTATCCTAGCCATTTTCAGGCAGTAGGCGGGGGACACCCTGAACTGGTTGCCAGCCAATCGCAGGGCATACAGAGACGAACAACCATCCATGCTCACACTCACACCTAAAGACAATTTAGAGTGTTCCATTAACCTGCCATACATGTTTTTGGTATGTGGGGAGAACATGCAAACTCCACACAGGCAGGCCGGAGCCGGAATCGAACCCTACACCTCTGCACTGTGAGGTCGACTCGCTAATCACTGGAACACCGGGCCACCCGAAAACTGAGCATTGATATTTTTATATAGCTGTTGTGCTGGGTCTTATTCGGTGTTCGCAGGTTCTCCCTATCCCTGTGTGGGTTTTCTCCAAGTACTCCAGTTTCTTCCCACATTCCAAAAACATGCATGGTAGGGCACTCTAAATTGTCCCTAGGTGTGAGTGTGAACATGAATGGTTGTTTTATGGAATCAATAATATGTTGCTTGAAAATGACTTCTTCCCGAATTTTTGCCATAAATGGGAGATTTGAAACTGACCTATAATGACTGAGACTCTCTGGGCCAAGCAAGGTCTGTTCACTTCAGTAGGAGTCTAATAACATGGATCATAAAAGCTGCTGATACAGTGCCAGATGAGAGTGAAAAATTTAATTCAATTAATAATATTTAAAATGGTAGGTACCAAGATCGTAATGAGTTTGCCAGGATGCACATCAAAGTACGCAAGCTGTTTGTTTTGCCGCACAAACCAGTTTTGTAAAGCTTTAACGAGGGGGTTGTCAGACAATTATTAGCCTTAACGCCCCTATTAACATCAATAATCACGGGATTCAACGGGGTTTTAGGAACTGTGCCCTTAATCTCGTCCCTGATGAGCTGAATCTTCTGTTTGCAAGAAATCATGAGCTGAATGGAAGGAGGAATTGACGTTTTGTTGCTGTTGCGTGAGCATTCCTACTCTATCAAATAAGTATTTAAGGTTATTTTTATTAAGATTGATTATTCTGGAGGAATAACTGGTTTTAGCAAAAGAAGAACCTTGTTTTATTTCAGCAAGCTATCACACACCATGCCTGACGGAAGACCTCAAGTTTAGTCGCACACCATTTGCGCTCAAGCTTCTTACTAAATTGTAAAAGCGAGCACGTTTCATCTGTAAAAACCACCAAGTAAACCTCTACAGTCTTAGTGCTGCTACGGAGTTGAGCACATTTAACAGTACAGCATTGAAACAAGTGCGCTAACGTAGTTATGAGCTGTCACTCGGAATATTTTTTTTCTTTGTGTTATGAGCTAAGATTTGAGGTGCCAGCAAGCTTTACAGATATCCTGCTGCACATGTGCAGTGAACAAAAACGGGAGTTACAGTCGCCAATGTGTTTTCAACCATTTATTGAACGGTTTTGACAAACATACAAAAGTACAACATTCGAAAGCAGAAAAGAACACTGAACTAAACTCCTCAGCCGGACTGACTCAAGGCGATGACACTCTCTAAGCCACGGCCATTAAAGACACATAAAAACACATGACTATACACATTTGTCTGTGTGTGTGTGTGTGTGTGTGTGTGTGTGTATGTGTGTGTGTGTGTGTGTGTGTGTGTGTGTGTGAGAGAGAGACTTACAGTTTAATCACGCCTAGTAAAACCAGTTTTTCTTTACACTTTACAATACACTGCTGTTTTTCTTTATTACAAAAGTGCAACAAAAAATGCGTGGGAGGCATGGGAGGGGGGGTGGCTGGAACAGTTTATTAGTAATACAGTTTATTTCAAAGGGGGATATTGATTTGATATATGAGTAAATTGAGTTAATAGCTTTGTCACGGGACAAATTAAACATAAAAGTCAATGTACCACTGTTATTGTCACTTCTGGCGTATTTGTCGTCGTATTTAAAGTCCCTGCCAAAAGTGCTGCAATGGCAAGGTCAATCCCTTTGTTCTCTGGAAATAAAATCTGTAATTCTGAAGTTTTGTCTTATATTAATCTTTTGGTCTGAAACCCAAATGTCTTCACTATACAGCAAAAAATAAAGGAAATGACCTTGCCGGTCCAATACTTTTGGAGGGGACTGTATCACTGTTAAGTGGCAATAATATTGATGCTCATGTTTCTGTTGGTGCACAGGTGATGACCCAGTGCATCAGTGGCAGTCCCAGGAAACGTGGCCAAGAGGATCTTCACCTCCAAAGCTGCGGTGCTTTGAGTTCTTCTCCTTCCATGCGCCGTCCCAAAAATCTCTCTCAAATTACCGGCACCAGTACCAATCCCCTGGACTCACCTTCCTTTGAACAAAGCCTTGAGTGCAGGGAAACTATTCTCTGACCACCATCTTCACAAGGACCTGCATCTAAGCTATGAGGGCATTCCAAAGTGCTCATGTTGCAGCAACACCTTTGTTGTGCAGAAATTCATAAGCAGTTCGGCATTGTGAGTTCAAGTTTGCACAGTATGTCTCTTGCGTAAGAAAAGGGGAAGAGGCTCAAACTATATCTTCTCGAGCCCCAAGAGAGTCTGCACAGTCATTAGCAGAAATAGTAGCAAACTCAGACTTGAGCCTGCCTGTCTGTAGTGGCTTTTTTTCTCATCAGAAAACAGAATGTTTCTCCCTCAGGGGATTTTTTTACGCTGAGTTTCAGCAAAATGAAACACATTGCCGCTAAGCTGAGATCTGTCATTCAGAGAAAAACGATATTGTGTTACAGTCTTGGTATTTTTCTTGTCTTTGTGTGAAACGGGAAGAAATGTAATAAATACTGTATGAATAATTCAACTGTGAACTGGAGAGAATGGGCTTTACCAGCCAATGCTTGGCAATTTTGTGGAATTATTACTGATAGGGTGGTGAATATATTGTGGTGCCGCTGGTTCAAGAACAAACATGACAAACATTTTAACTTACCTCATTGTGTTATATTTCTTATCAGTGTTACAATAAAAGCTAAGTTTGTATCTTTTGATTTGTGTTGTTATTCCAATAGAAGGTGTAGTTTACTGTATACTACCTTTCGGACAAAATATTACAAATATTTACTGTTATTATCGAGATAATTTGTTTTTCGTGCCTTTTCCATGACAGCGTTCCCCTTTGCGAAGTCACCTACCATGATCCTGCACAGACTTTTTTGTGGAACGCATCTACTGTAGTTGTCTGTCATGGAAATTCGTTTTTATGTTCATATAAATACAGTACTGTACTAAACTGGGTTTACATTTTGGTTTTTTTCCAGACAATGGTCTGACAGAGGCTGAAGTGACAGCCGAAACTGTCAGCTATAGGTACGTGTTTTTCTATTCACCAAAAAAGACCATTGTATGGACAAAAAGAGAGTGTCAACTTAATTTAACCAATCAGTAGACAAGATGAACATGGAAGATACGGACAGGATGCTGTCGTTTTACCTCCGCCGCCGGGAAAGATTAGAAATAAAGCTCGCATGCCAAAAAAACCCCACCTGAGTTTCAACCTCAGCTGCATAGATAAACCAAAAACCCCGGCAAGCCTCAACATCAACACTTCTCAGAGAACAAATAAGGACCACTGCAAGCAGAACAGATATCATCAATACGGAACTTAACGAGCGACGGGAGGCGTTGGGAACACAATACATGCCCAACCACAACATGGACAAAGCAATAAAAATGCATTTAAAACAAGTATACGAACAGGAATTTATTTACAAATACCGGAAACGCACACATACTAACCAGTACTTCCTCTGGACTTCAGAATATCCCACGTCAGAGCACTATACAACCGGACTAACATGATACCAAACAACAAGTATAGACAGGAAGAAAAAAACCACATACAACACGCCCTTACTCTCTGTCAATACCCCAAACGGTCAATCAGCAAAGGAAAACTGCAAGACAGACAAAACCAAAAACAGCAAAAAAGCAAGAAAAACAAAACCGAAATAAATAACCAACAGTGAAAATAAGGACTCAATAACACTTCCATATATGTCAGAGGAATTACAGGACCCATTCAGTCCATCATGAGAAAACATCAAGTACATACAGTAATAAAACCATACTAGAAATCGTGACAACTTGTGCAGCCAAAAGACGCCATAACACCGGACAAGAAATGTAACATAATCTATGAAATCCCATGCAAATCATGCCAAACACAAAAACAAAAAGCAGGACAGGAAATCAGCCATAACAGACAAGTGCAGAAGAAATAATCACATCATGTACTGGGACAAGAGGAAAGCCATCACATCAAAAAACAATTAATTTAAAAGATGGATCAAGGAGGCAATCGAAATAAGGAGGCTTTGAGATGGCACCAGCAACAGGGACGAGGGGATTATATACTCCCACAGGCCAAGGACACATTGTTTCAACAGTAGCGGGGGATTGGCGCGCAGCCTTGACCAGGTCGCAGAGCCTTATTTTGAAGGTCTCCCAACCCGGTCAGCTGTTTTTAAGACATGTCACAAGGAAGCAGTGACAACTCTGACGAAGGCTGAAGTGACAGCCAAAACTGTCAGCTAGGGAGGAGCTTTTGTCTCCACCAAAAAAGATAATTGTCTGGAACTTTAAACCTAATTTAAGAAAATGAGTAGACAAGATGAATGTCATAGTAACAGTACTGTGCTGAAAACAATCTTCAAATGCAATAATAAGTCAATATGTTTAGAAAATAGATTTAAGCAGTTTTGTGGGATTTTTATTCTCTTGGGTTTTGATTGGCCGCTTGGAACCCTGCATTGTCGGATTGAACTTAAACTTCAGTTTCAAGCGTCTGGCATTTTAGAAGTCCTCTTGGACAAAAAAATTAAATTAAATAAAACAAAACTCTGGCAAGTGGTTAGCGCATCAACCTCACAGTGCACAGGTCATGGGATTGATCCCGGCTCCGGCCTCCCTGCGTGCACTTTGCATGTTCCTCCGTGCTTGCGTGGGCTTTCTCCGGGCACTCCCACATACCAAAAACATGTATGGCAGGCTGATTAAACACTCTAAATTGTCCTTAGCTGCGATTGTGAGCGCGGATGGTTGTTCGTCTCTGTGTGCCCTGCGATTCGCTGGCAACCAGTTCAGGGTGTCCCCCGCCTACTGCCCGAAGACAGCTGGGATAGGCTCCAGCAACCCCCGAGAGAAGACAGACAGACAGACAGACAGACACACGAACGCACACACACACACACCCACACATGCACGCACGCACACACTCCCACACACACACACACACACACACACACACACACACACACACTTTCTCGCTCTCGGACAGGCTAACCTCGCGTCACTCACTCAGAGTGGTACTGTATTCTGTTTTTTTTTTTTGTTTGTTTTGTTTTGTTTTTTTTAATCTACAACGAGCTGGTGCGCGGCCGGATGTAGATTCAACAATGACTTTGAAGGCGCATGTATAATTATGGGCGGAACACTCTGTCTTTGGCATTTAATGACATCTGAGTGTTGATGTACTACTGGTGCCATCGGATAATGTTTAAGCTTTTGCCAATTGGAAGTTCTAATTGATATCACGGTGAATAGTTGTTTTGGGTTGAGATCAGAACCCTTGAGTAATACAGTATGTTAAATTATTTGTCTGAAAGATTTCATAAATTGCTGGATCATGATCTATTCTTTTTCTCTCCTCGTCAGGCCAGTGGACCTGGATTTCATCTGTGCAAAGACAGTAATTTGCGAACCAAAGGAAGCTTTTGATTATTTTTTTTAATTCGGCGTCCTTGAGAAATATTGTGCACCAATGGTTTAAACTTGTTTCATAGCTTTATTATTTACATCCAATAAGCTATCTCCTGATTGTGTAATTGCAAAAATGGTACTGTAACATCAAGTGATACACTGCAAACTCCAACGTAGTGTCTCGTACTGGTTCTACGGAAACAAACCGCGTGCCACGTAAACACACAAATCGCAATTCAGAACTTTTATTTTGAAAAAAATCCGCTTTCGCTGGGGAGACCGTGGTGTTCATTCCGGTTAACTCGACTATGGACAGAAATCGGACGTTGCAGGACAGGGCTGTGAATCAAAGCGCGTATTCTGAAGGTTTGCTAGAGTTTACCTGTTTGCATTGGCTCGGGTTGAAATTAACCTCGCGCTGAATGTTGCAGGAAATAGGCGCCTATTGCGTTCGCATTTCCACTCATTGTTTGTAGCGAATGAAGGGCTGTCTGGAGTCGGACTGCGGTAGTGTTTTGGGGGCTAACCTTAATTCGCAATCGAAGACAATCAACACCCCTGTTCAATTGTTGCACCAAACCCCTGAGATAAAAGTGTGATCGCGACGGAGACTTTTCCCAAATTTGGGTGAAAGAACTAACCGCTAATGCTACATAGCTCGAGTTAGCTGTATCACTTGCGCGTCCTCGCGCCTCTGCCACGGAGCTGTGCGGAGATCCACTTCCACGTAACGTCTGCTGTGCAGTGTTCCACTGTGCCAGCTGGGCTAGGCCACATCCTTCTTGGACTGACATTGGGCGGACTTTGAGGAAGATGTCCAGTATGCGGAAGGAAGACGACGGGGAATAAAGCGTGAGAGATGTGAGAAGTCTTGATCGTTCATGATCTTCGTGTGGGGTTTGTGTTTCTGAGCGGTTGCCGCATACACAAGGCATGTCACGTACACCGGGGAAATACTCTCTTTGAGCCACAAGGTTAAAAGCTGAAGTGACAGTTTTAATTTTTGTTCGGACATGATCGGTTTCGGCGCAAACCGACGCGGGGGTCGACTCCCTTCCTTCATCCTCATCTTTCTCATGGCGATCATCGCCATACTGGCGTTCAACTACTGGACCGTGTCCAACAAGCACGGTCGGTTACTGGATGAGTTGGTCGAGGTGCAGTCGCGGGTGAAGCGCACGGACGCGGCGAGGAGCCGCCTGGAGAAACGCAACTCTGAGCTCATGGCGCAGGTGGACACGCACAGGAAGCAGCTGGACAAGAAGGATGGAGACTACAGCGTCATGGAGGGCAAGCTGCAGGCCCGAGATGCGCTCGTCAAAAAGTGCACCGACGAAAAGGTAGTTTCTCCCGGAGCTATGTGCTCCTTTTGATTTCGCACAAGTCCGCCACTGCAGTTGTTGTCGTGCCACAGTATTTATTTAGCCGTGGTTATTTGTCATTTGTATTGTCCACGTCCAAATGTTCTCTAAACAGAAGGTTTCACTGTGAGAGTTCACAGTCACCGCGTGTCGTTTTTTCCCCCCACCAAGTCCAAGTTGTTGCTTGGATGTAAAATAAAATTTGGACTGATTTTATGAATAATTAACGTGAAGTTGAAATATGAGCTTGTGGTTCAATATGAATCCCTTTTCTATACATTTTCAGTTTTACAATTCAACAAGGCGGATAATTTTGCTAGTTGTCATGACACTTGCAATTTATTTCCCAAGAAATATTTATCCCCACAGGATGAATAAAGTAAATCCAATCGATTTCATGTAATATTTTTTTGGCTTTTGAAGCAGTATTTACCAGGTTTTGTGCATGATTTATAGTTTTAGTCAGACGTTATGGCTGGATAGTGGATAAAATTGTAATTTGAATCTCATTGTACCCTTAGGAGTACAATAGCATATACTCCTTTTGTATGCTTGACCCTTGGTTTAAAACTTTTGCACAAACTGTGTATGTTTTTACAATGGAAAACCAACTGTCGGCACCTTAATGTCAACTTATTAACCTTCTGTTGTTGCCAGTACGTCATGAATTCACCCTTCGGAGGTAGACCTACACGAAACCCATTTAAAGATTTTCCACCCCCAACACACAGGCCAACAGGTGGATGGACAAAAACATGTACTTCCTTGTTTGCGTCGTGACAAGTTTGTTCAAGGTTGTGGCACCTTTCACTGAGCCATGAACGTAGTGTTTTCAAGACCACATACCTGACAATCTCCCATGACCTAATTTTTCTTGTGATTTGGTCACCTTTCCCTAATAGTGTAATAAATTATATTTTACGCGC